CTTATTTTAGAAGAGAAACAAGAGTTTGTGGGGCGAAAAACTGGAAGACAGGAGCAGAATATGGATCCGGACGAGGTTTTTCTCAGTACCCTCTGGTTCCTTTGGTTTGTGTCTCCTTTCATCTCAGACAAGTAGAAGGCATTCCTAAAAGTGTAGATGGGACTTATGTTACGAAATGAAGTTTCCTTCCCCTGTAGGAAATAAGCAGGTAGCAGATTTTTAGTGGCTAGAATCTGTGCCCGATATTAAAATATCCACCCAAACCTCTTTGGCAGCAAATTCAGAAACCCTGTCTCAGCACCATGCCGGGCTTCTTTTGCATCTCAGTCCTGGGTCTAATCATGCTCATTGTCTGCCCAGCTGGTCCCCATCTGTGCCCACACCGCTATGGAGATTGTCGCTTTGGTGTTTTTCTTCTCTTCCCTGTTACCTTACTGCCCCCATCCCTCACTTTTCTTTGCTAAGTGGAAGCCACTGGTGTCTTGATTCATTCAGAGCAGCCCCTGGGGCCTGGTGCTATCTAGCATGATTCAGTATTTGAGACGAAACCAGGAGAGGAACACTTAGTTCCTCAAAAGCCCCGTTGCTGATGTCGAAGATCACGCTTAGGCTCCTGACGACATTCTGCTTAAAAAGGGTCAGCCATGGTAATGATATTGAGGACCATGATCTCTTGTTGATATCAGAGTTGAGTTTTTAGAGATTATATAATTCCCCCTCAAATCTCACTTGTCTGCCTCTCGCAGAAGAGAATTAGGCACTTCTCTCATCTTTGCTTGAGAGATAGAAGTCCAAGTTACCGCAGTAGTTTCATCGGTAATTCTGTGATCCTGTCCTTATTAATAGCCTTTTAGCAGGAAAGTGTTAGAAAGCAGCTAATCCTAGGAGTTTAAATGTTGAAGGATCTATAGGGATATGCACATTAAAACCATAATGAAATATCATTACACACTCACTAGAATGGCTAAATGTGAATTAAGTTTTGACTGTGCCCACTATGTGTTAGGCACTATTCTAGGGCATAAGGGTACAGAGGGGAACTAAAGAGACAAAATCTCTACTTTCATAGTGAGTGTTAAGTACCCATCCATATCATTAAAAATTAGGGGGATAAAGTTAGACCCAAGAGTGCTATGTATTTGAGGGAAAGTGGGAGAAAGCATGTTTCTTTGTGTAAATAAAAAAGTATTCCCACATATTTAAGAGGCTAAAGTTTGTCTGTGTCAAAATTATTATGCCTATCTGGAGTTGTGGAGTGGCTATTCCTTTATGTGAACCATTGCTTTTTACTTGCTTACCTCCCATAATGGAATGAATCCTTTTTCCCTTTGTGGTTCAGTAAATTCATGAATTTTCCCCCAAAAGGGATTCCAGGGAAATCATAGGGAATATCTTAGCTTTTCAAAAAAATTTTTTTAATGCTTTTATTTATTTTAGAGAGAGACAGAGACAGATGCAAATGGGGGAGGGACAGAGAAAGAGAGGGAAACACAGAATCCAAGGCAGGCTCCAGGCTCTGAGCTGTCAGCACAGTGCCCAAAGTGGGGCCGGAACTCACGAACTGCGAGATCATGACCTGAGCCGAAGTCAGACGTTTACCCCACTGAGCCACCCAGATGTCCCTATCTTAGTGTTTCAAAAAAACATGCAGGTAGGCGAAAGGACTGGCCCAGTTTCCAGTGGGCAGACTGGCACAGGCTCTAGTGAATATTAGCTTTTCTACCTCTGTCCAAACTATGCCCAGCTCAGCTTTAGATTTTTCCATTTAATGCAGATCTCAGGATGCAACTCAATCTGAAATAAGCCTCTCTATTTACAGTCTTATAATTGCCTTCTTCTCTAACAGCCCGAACTCTGTTTAGGTGTAGCCGAGAATCTTCATACCTTGATCTGTCTGGTGGACATGGGCCTGTGCCAGAGAAGTATCTCGAGTGGTGCTGTATGCCCTCTTCTTTCTAACTGGGTTATTTACATCTCCAGTTGGTCAGTTACACATTGATAGTGACCAATATCTTTAAACTGACAAATCCTATCAGACTTTGAATTTTGTCTCATGATCAAGGACCTGTGATTTAAATGCGTCCCATCTGCACATAAGCCCTTTTATGGGCATTGATGCTAAACAGTGTGGTTCCATCTGTGTTAGGGATAACGCAGGTTCATTGCTTTGCCTTTAGATCTGTGATGGTCATAGGCTTTGAGAGTCTCGGCTGGCCCTTCTCAACCCATTGTGCCTGCCTGGATTGTGTGGTAGGCATCTGACTCATTTCTTGAGTGCAGGCTGGAAAGGTCATCTTGCTACCTGGTAAAGAAAACTGCACTGCTCCCATCTGCTGGCAGGTATCTTGGATCGCTGTATCATCAGCCTGCTGAAAGGGCTGGCCCTGTCCTTTAGTGGTTCTGTGCATTCCACTGTAGGAAACAGTCATTCCCAACTTGTGTGCTGCAGCCCAATCACGTGTCTCCTTATTATCTAAATGGGGTGTGACACAGGTTTTCTCTAAGGTAAGTAAAGCGGGAAGAACATGTTGTGGACAGCCAGCAGAGTGACACCATTCCAGGTTCTACATAATTAGCCATGAGACTCCTAAGCCCCATTCCATTCCTCTAGTCATAAAGCAAAATGCTTGGATTTAATGCTCTCTAAGAGCATATTGGTACAAAGTCTGTAGTTCTGTGATTCTTTAAACAAATTCAAATACCATAAAATGAATACTCACTTGAACTGTTTACAAAATAATTATGAATACACATAGAAACTTTATAATTAACACTTCTGATTGATAATAAGACACATCATGAATTTAACAGCTTTTTGGGGAAAAGAAGATTAAATACTACTGCATTAAATGTACCTACTTATTACAAGAAGAATTCCGATATCCTAAAAATTAAAGTGTAAAAAATATGCATCTTAACATTGAGACTTTGTGTGTATGTATGTGTGTTACAAGACCTCTGCTAGCCAATATGTGGTAGGGGTTTAAACATATTTTTATTTCATTTTATTTTATTTTATTTTATTTTATTTTATTTTATTTTTTTAATTTTTTTTTAACGTTTATTCATTATTGAGAGACAGAGAGACACAGAGCGTGAGCAGGGGAGGGGTAGAGAGAGAGGGAGACACAGAATCTGAAGCAGGATCCAGGCTCCGAGCTGTCAGCACAGAGACCAATGTGGGGCTCGAACTCACGAATGGTGAGATCATGACCTGAGCCGAAGTTGGTCGCCCACCCGACAGAGCCACCCAGGCGCCCTTAAACGTATTTTTAAAGTAAATTTCTAGAATTAAAATTGACAGTTGAACAGTGCAAGTAGACTTTAAAGTATTATAAGAAAATGGAAAATGTTATTGAGATACAAGATTCAAGATGACAGTGGAAAAAAGACTTCATGGCAAATTTTAGTGTTTATCTGAATACTGAAGAAGGACAGTGTGGCAGGAGATACACAGACATGCAATGGCTGCTAAATCATTATCAAAATGCACACTTGGAACATTTGAGTCCATTAGCATTTTTTTAAACAGAATTCTGTGTGTATTGTATGAAAACATAACAACAGTGCTCTGTGATTAAGGCTCTCTGGTTACAAGGAGCAGAAAAACCTATCCAAGCAGACTTGAAAAAGAGTAAACATTGTGAAGAGACACGAGGAAATGCTATGGACATCAGCAGACAGTTGCTGAAGTGCCACTGGGCCTCAGAGGTTGCAGAGAGATTAAACAGGGCTGAAGTCTCTGTCTCGGGCGTGAAGTCTCTAGAATCACTACTTTGCTCTCTATCAATTTTGCATGTGGCTGCTAGCCTTAGCACTATGCCACAGCCTCAGCTCAAGTTCCCACACTAGGGACTTCCCTCTGTGTTCACCTTCATCCAATTAGTCATCACCTATATGCAAATAATAGCCTAGCAAAAGAATTTTTTTTTGTTTTTGCTCCCCAGGGTCATTGCACAGGATAGTTCAAGCTAAATTATGATGGTGTATGAGCAAGTAGATGGACAAAGTGCCCAGTATAACTGCTGCTTATACTGCCTTCACTGCTTATACTGCTTATGAAGCCTTCAGCTTTGACAGCTTTCCTGCACCTTATCTATCTATAACCCCTGTTAACAATGGTACTGAGCACCTCATACAGCATTTGGGGGATGAGATTGAAGTAAGGAGTTGTAAGAATTTGTGAAACGCTAAAATATAACCAATCCAGAGCATTTAAGAATTTCTGTTAGAGTTACATAAAATTTTTTAATGAATTTTGGACTGTCTTTAAGAGAAAGTTTAGTGTGGACATTAAAACATCTGCCCTGTAATCGAGTTATACTTTCCTGGTGTCTGCTGTGTCGAGGAACCTTTCATACCTATATTTTGTGTCTTCTCAACAGCCTGTGAAGTAGGAAAGGCAGGAAGAATCCTCAGGGTTGATTGTTAGATCTGAAGAGGGATTAGAAGGAAGGAAGAAAAAGCTTCTTGAAAGTGACAACTATTATTATAACAATTATTAAAATAACTTCCAGGCCTCTCTGGTTAAGTGCTGGACTTACAATTTTTTTTTTTTTAAAGTTTTTGGTTGAATCTAATCTCTTTGGGCCTCTGTTTTCTCTAGCTAATAATCATCTACAAGGGAAAAATAATACCCAGCCTCATAGGATTGTAGTAAGAATTAAATAAGAGCTCAAAGTGCCTAGGACAGTGATTGGAATGTAGTTCTTTTTTCTTTTATCTGTTTATTTGTAGGTACTTTGGAAGATAACTACTGTTCTTCCTTCTTCCTGATATAGGCGTTCAGGAACAATTTTTCTGACTCTTGCCACTCAATCCCGTGGTAATATCTCTGAGTCCCTTGAATGTAAGAGTGCCTTCTAGCCCAGGCAAGCCCTAGGTCTAGCTGATGATGGCATCAGTACCATTAACAGTGACAGCAGAAAGCTATAGCCACTGTGGTTATTTGACTTTTTGAACATCACTCAAAAGAGCTTGTATGTGCATTTCCTTCACAGGTGGATTTGCTATCGTGTTTCTGGTGAGGACAAGCAATGGAATGAAATGTGCCTTGAAACGCATGTTTGTCAACAATGAGCATGATCTCCAGGTGTGCAAGAGAGAAATCCAGATAATGGTAAGGCTGCCCCTCAGACTTGGGACTTCTTGTTTAAAATGTGCCCTCCGATAAGAAAGGTGTGTGTGTGTGTGTGTGTGTGTGTGTGTGTGTGTGTGTGTGTCGGGGCAGTGGGTCTTGTTCCCTTCCCTGAGATGGCAGAGGAGCCTCACACAAAATGAGAATGAAGAGTCATGGGGTGCAACATGCTTCTCCCATCTTGGTCACCCTTAGCTGGAGGGTTGAAGAGAAAGGAGCATATTGAGAGAACTGACCAATTTTTTAGGTCAGAGGAAGAAGTTTGGGCACTGAGAAACATTTCTTTCATAAATTCATTCCCAGAATTAAGTATGGGGTTTAATCCAGAAACCCTAGCTCTCCAGTGAGCCTCGTCTGCTAGTCTTGTCTTCTGTCAGTTCCCAAACCTGGTCTTCGTCCATCTTGAGCTTTTCAGCATTCCTTGAATGTATCCTTCTACACTTTTATATTTTATACATGTAGTTCTTTCCTCCTGGAATGGTTTTCTCCTTTTTTGGACTAGAAACCTCTTATTCACACATACTCTATGATCCCATATATAAAAGTCCAAGAACAGGCAAAAGTGATCTATGGTAACAGATCAGAAAGTGGTCATCTGAGTGTGGGAAATGGACTAGAAAGGGGCATGTGGGAATTTTCTGGGCCATGGAAATGTTCTATATCTTGTTTTGGGTAGTGGTTACCCAGGACCATGTAAGTGTCAGAACTCAGCTGAACACCTTAAGATCTGTGCATTTTATTATATGTTAATTATACCTCATATCTTAAAAACTTCATTTTCACAATTCATATTCATATGATGTTTAAAGAAAGTACATTTCTGTTAGAGATACATGCTGAAATATTTACGGATGAAATAAGATTATGTCTTGAAGTTAATGAGTGGATATAGAAGAGAAACAAAACTGGCAAAGGGTTACTGATCGAAGCAGATCACTGGGTATGTGGGAGTTAGTTTCTCACTTTCACTTCTGTTTGACATTATACATAAAAAATTTAAATAGTCTTTTATTCCATTTTGCTTCCACAAAATACTTTTCACCAAAGCAAAATTTTGTTTATATTGCCTATGCGTAATCTTATAAGTAATTTTGCCATCAGAAAGTAACTCATTTTAAATCAGGAGCTTTACATTCCAGCAGACTGTGTGACATAATATAGTTGATCCTTGAACAATATGGGGGTGGGGGTGCTGACCCCTGAACCGTTGAAAATCTGCATATTAACTTTTGATCACCCGAAACTTAACAACTAATAGCCTGCTGTTGACTGCAAGTCTTAACATAAACAGTCAATTAACTCATATTTTGTATGTTATATGTATTATATTCTGTATTCTTACAATAAAGTAAGCTAGAGAAAAGAAAATGTTATTAAGAAAATCATAAGGACGATACATTTACACACTGTACTGTATTTAAGGGGAAGAAATCCATGTCTGGATTTGCACAGTCTGAACTCATGTTGTTCAAGTGTTAACTGTACTTAGTAGGCTTTGGATGAAATGAATGTATGAATAATGGTAATATCAGATGCATATATTCACCTAGAGGTGATGATTTCTCTATGCCCTGGAGTTTAATGCTTTTATAAAGAGAAGAAAGAGGTCCAAAAAAATGGGTGGAGGTGCCATTGTAGGAATTTCATCAGGCTTTCCTTGGCCCTGTCCATCCCTTGTGGGGTTGACCTTTCAGGGGCTACTTAAGAGTAACTAGCTGTACTGTAGTTGGGCTAGTGAAAAAGACCTCAGGATTTTACAGAGTCTGGTACTATTTTAGATTTCAAAAAGCTGAAACCATTTGAGAAGAAACCATTTGCTGATGGAAGTGTTGCTGTCATCATTGCGAAACAAAAAACCCCAAGGCCCCAAGTACATACGCAGGGCCACATGGATCTGTCCACAGGCACCAGTGAGCGCCCACTTCCCTACCCCACGACTCCAAATGACTAGCCTCACTGCATCTTCCTTCAGCAGCATTAGGTTTTCTGGCTGCTTCTCTTTGCCCCTCCTCCCCCTTGTCCCTGCCTTGCTAAGGTCTCACACACTCCGTTTCCTGTCTTTGCTTCTGCTATTTCCTCTGCCTAGAGTGCCCTTCTCATTCATTTTCTAGTGTTATGAAAGTAATCCTATTCTTTAACTTTCTCCTACTCATTCAGAAACATGTTTGAGAGCTGGCTTTGTGCTAGGCAGGCTTTGGAATAGAGGAACTAAGAAGACACAGGCCCCTTAGAGCTCACAAATATGTATTCAAATTCTGGCCCAGCCATATAATAGTTGTGAAAGATTCTGTTTTGAGTTGTTTTTAGTTTATATTTTTTTCAAGACTTAAATACTCAAATAGATGAACTAAGCTTATTACTAAAAACTTCAAGCAATTCCCCGAGGGGCCCTCCTCTGTCATTTCAAGGTTCCAGGGGCAACCCCTTTTTGTTGATTTATTTGATATGTTTCTGAATAACATGCTGATATTGCCAGCTCCTGATTTTTTTTTCCTCCCTTTTAGGTATTATATGGTATGGAATGTAAATATTTAGCTTTTTCATCCCCTGTATACCCTTTTCCCCAAATACCTTGCAGTCATTCTCATTTTCCATTCTGCTACAACAGCAGTTAAATTTTGGCAGTGTGTTAGTTACAGTAGTATGAGTTTTTACATGTAAGAAAACACTATTCTTGCAGAATCTTCTTGTGAACTAGGATTACTATCTCTTTTCTATATAACTCTCTTTCCATTGGAATTAACGATCTTTTTCAATTTTTTTGTCTGTCTTCTCTGTGTACTTTTCAGCAGTTTAACCCCAAACTCTCTCTAGGTTGTCGAAATCATTTTTTTAATACTTTTAAATGCATTTATGTGCTCTGCCCATTTTATCTTCTTGAAGAAATCTGTCTTCTAACTCCATGAAATCTGAATTGGTTGCTCTCTAGGCCTGATTTACAGTCTTATCTTGGAATTTCTTAGTCATTCCCTTTGCCTCACTTTTTTGTTAGATTTCCTGACTCGTTTTTTGTTTTACTTCCTCATTGTGGTGGAGATTATCCTGTGGTAGCTTCCTTATGCATGGTAGGTAAAGTTTTGAGACCTTCGAGGTCTAGAAGTATCTTTATTTTATGCTCACACATGTGAAATCTTATTTTAAAAAAATATATATATTTTTTACGTTTATTTATTTTTGATAGAGAGAGACAGAGCACAAGTGGGGGAGGGGCAGAGAGAGAAGGAGACACAGAATTGGAAGCAGGCTCTAGGCTCCGAGCTGTCAGCACAGAGCCCGACGCGGGGCTCGAACCCACAAACTGCGAGATCATGACCTGAGCCGAAGTCGGACGCCCAACTGACTGAGCCACCCCAGGCATCCCATGTAAAATCTTATTTAAAAAAAAAAAAAAAAAAAAATTCTGGCTTAGAAATCATTTCATTTAGATATTTCTTGGAAGCATTACTGTACCATAGTTTAGCTTTCATTGTTGTACATAGGAAATCTTGAGTCATTCTAATATTTGGCCCTTTGGGTGTGACCCTAGAAATTTCTCCCTAGAAATTTATCAGTTTCCCTTTTGTTTACAGTGTTCTGAAATATCTTGATGATATACCTTGCTGTATACACTTTTTATTTATTAATAAATGGTGTTCCCATGTAATCCAGAGACTCCCATCCTTGCACTGTGAGGAATTTTAGTTTGTCTCATTTGGTGATTTCCTTTTCTGTCTTCCTTTTGCCTAAAGTTGCTGTTATTCAGATGTTGGTTCTTGCTGAATTGATTTTCTAATTTTCTTATTTTCTCCCTTTTATTTTTCATTTCTTTGTTTTCTTTTTTTCCCCCCTCTACATTCTGGTGATTTCCTCAGCTTTACAGCCATGCCGTTGAATTTTTTATTTATCAGGCTTTAAAATGTGTAAGACCTTTGTGTTTATTTTTGTTTTGTTTTATGTTTCATTTTGATGAAGTGCAGTTTATCATTTCTCCTTTTTGTGGAACCTGTTTTTGGTGTCATTTCTAAGAACTCTGCCTACCCCTTGCTTCTGAAGATTTTTGTCCTGTTTTTTTCCTAAAAGTTTTATAGTTTTAACATTTTACATTTAAGTCTGTGATTCATTTTGAATAAATTTTTATGGCAGGTATGAGACTTAGGTTGAGGTTCATTTTTTTTGCCTATGGGTCTCCATTTGCTCTAGCACCCTTTGTTGAAAGGCTATCTTTCCTCCATTGAATATGTTTGTCAGAACTCAGTTGGGCGTATGTGTGAGGGTCCATCTCCAGACCCTTCTTTATGCTGTTCCATTAATCTATATGTCTGTCCCTCCACCAGTACCACACAACCTTCATTACTGTAGCTTTATAATGTCTTGAAATCAGACTGATTCCACCTACTTCTTTTTTTTCTTTCTAAAATTGTTTTACCTATTCTAGTTCTTTTGCCTTTTCATATAAATTTTAGAATAATCTTTGTCTACAGAATATCTGGCAAGTATTTTGATAGGAAATCCATTAAGCCTTTTTATGAACTTGGGGAGAATTGACATCTCTTCTGTGTAGTTTTCCAATAAATGAACATGGTGCATCTCTCCACTTATTTGCATCTTTGATTTATTTTTTCATCAGTGTTATGTAGGATTTGTACATGTTCTTAGATTTATACATAGGTTTTCTTTGTTTTGTTTTGAGTGATTATAAATGGTATTGGATTTTTCATTTTGGTGTCCCTGTGTTTATTACTAGTATGTAGAAAACCAATTGACTATTCTGTGTTTATCTTATATCCTTTAACCTTGCTGAACTTGTTTACTACTTCTTGAATTTTTTTCTAGATTACTTAGGATTTTCTTTTTTTTTTTTTTTTTAATTTTTTTTTTAACATTTATTATTTATTTTTGGGACAGAGAGAGACAGAGCATGAACGGGGAAGGGGCAGAGAGAGAGGGAGACACAGAATCGGAAACAGGCTCCAGGCTCCGAGCCATCAGCCCAGAGCCTGACG